GAGAGAGAGAGAGAGAGAGAGAGAGAGAGAGAGAGCGTGGAGTAGTGGTAGGGACACAATGTACGGATCAGTGTATTGAAGATCGTCCGCAACTCTACCGAATATCCTCATAACATAACTAATCTAAAAGACAACAAACTCTTCGCCTGTGAGAGAGAAAACTGAATATATTTTTTTGTATTTGAAATTTTTTATATTTATTGAACCCTATGTTTGCATTTCTTTTCATTGTGTTTATCAGTGCTTTTATTTTATGTTTTATGGTTTTGGCATTTTTTAGGACCAGAGAGTGACTGAGTCTAGCAGTGAATGCGAATGACTTTTATTTATGAATTTTTCGTTTTGCGGATAATATTTGTGAATTCGTGAAACAGAGGGACAGACAGACAGACACACAAAAAGTAGTAAAAATTGGGATAAAAAACTTTCAACGCGTGGGATATTTATGTGAGCGCTTGAGATGGGGTAACAAGAATTGGCTGCATATGAGAGCCCACACCATATGAACGATATATAATTATTTTGCAAAATTAATTTCAATCGTCAAATCATACAAAATATTCGTTTTGTTGTTAGGAATCAATTTTTGTCTTCACTTTATCAGCGAAAATGAATGAGAATTTGTGTTATTTTTTGTTATAATTTAATAAATAGTTTAAAATGAAAGCCAAAAAATCCGAAGCAGTCATTAAACCGCATTGAAAATCGTTCGCTAAATTGTAGGGCAAAGCAAGCAATACATTGAAATGCATTTCTAGCACAACATCTAGAAGAAGAAGAAATAGCAAAAAACATATCATTTTTTATACTTATTGTGATTATCAGCGAATGGTCTGCACTTATGATCAGTGCAAGCGATTGAGTAAAAGAAACATCACATATGTTGGAGAGAGAGAGAGACGGAGGGAGGGAGAAAATCGTGACTTTGGACGCGTGTTATTTGCCCAACGGTTGCCTCATTTGATGAGCACTCATGGCATCAATCAAGACCTCAGCATCAAATGCATTGCCTGTCTTTGTGTCGATTCCTATCCATTTTAACAATAATAGTTATTAACATAACTTATCGTTTAGTTTTAGTACTCAAACAACACAGTAATAGACGGGAGAGAGAGAGAGAGAGAGAGAGAGAGAGAGAGAGTTGTGCAGACGTTTTGCAGTGCAAATCGATGTGACTTATGTTACGGCAGAGACGACCGCCCAATGGGTGGGGAGAAGGCGGCGGCACATGTACTGAGACAAGCGCTGCCAAAAAACCTCAATTCTGTTTTGCCCTGAAAAAGATATGCTCTCATCATATAATACCTGTCCATTGCATCAGTGAATTACAGACAAGCAGTTAATACCTGTGCTATCGCTCTGTACTCTATGTATGTATGCGTTTGTGTTGTAAACGCATTGCAATACTCCGTGCGTTTAGGGCTAAAGCGTTGCCTAATATTAATATCTCTGTTACACAACAAGAAGAAGCAATTCGTGAGACGAGAGTTAAGACTGAGTGAGAGAAGAGACGGGGACTGAGTGTCAGACTGTTTGGCACAACTGAGAAGCTGAGCGTTTGGTTCATTTCAGTTGCACCTTATGTTTATGCGGTAGCCGTTACTGAGCTCTCACTTTCTGCAGGACTATTGTCTAAATACGTGATTCACGGCATTGTTTTCACGACCTTTTGTTTCCGTTGCCTCTCTTGAAGGGAGAGCTCTCGCTATACGTCTAAACCTATTATTCTGTAATTTTCTTTATATTTACTAATTTATTAAATGATTACCGAATTTGTCGATTGAAAAATACATATGTTTTTGAAGTTCACGATTCTAACCGAATATTAGACAACCTATCGTTTAGCGATTAGAATAGGCCTTATGTTTATAAACTAATCTTTATTATAAATCGCTTTTAAAAAAAACTTTTCCGTATAATCAGATAAAAATGTAAGCGTATAATATGTTACAAATATTGCATTAAAATTAATATGTATTTAATTTCAATTGACAGATAAGTAATTATTTTAAAAAATATTAAACTGATGTTTAAATATTAGCAGACATTGGCTAACGGTATACGTGTCCGGAATGTCAGTTATGTCACCACTGCCTCACAAAATGACAAATGAAATGACAGACTTTCATGACGTAAGTCTATATGATTTAATTAGTTTTAAAATTTATTTCAAAACTAAATCTATGTAATTAATGTGAATGACCAGATGTGGCAGGACATTGAAAGTGTGCTATTAATTAGCGATGGCTCGCAATACAGTTCCTCAGCGGAGACCCACCGGTATATTCTGCAACAAAGTCAACACCAAAGCCAACCACACACTCAACACCACAACACAACTCATCCGCAAATCACTGCAAACGATGTTTATGTGAAACAAGAATTCAATCAAATCAAGTCTGAATACGATTACCACCAAAACGATACGTACGACCAGTCGGTGCCGTACGTCGAGAGCAACAACTATTGCAATGCCTCGCAATGGACTTCAACGCCATTACAGCCGATTCAGTGCACACAACCATCCAATCAGTTGTGCGCCAATAATTTGTCGATTGAAAAATACATATGTTTTTGAAGTTCACGATTCTAACCGAATATTAGACAACCTATCGTTTAGCGATTAGAATAGGCCTTATGTTTATAAACTAATCTTTATTATAAATCGCTTTTAAAAAAAACTTTTCCGTATAATCAGATAAAAATGTAAGCGTATAATATGTTACAAATATCGCCTTAAAATTAATATGTATTTAATTTCAATCGACAGATAAGTAATTATTTTAAAGAATATTAAACTGATGTTTAATTATTAACAGACATTGGCTAACGGTATACGTGTCCGGAATGTCAGTTATGTCACCACTGCCTCACAAAATGACAAATGAAATGACAGACTTTCATGATGTAAGTCTATATGATTTAATTAGTTTTAACATTTATTTCAAAACTAAATCAATGCAATTAATTTGAATGCCCAGATGTGGCAGGACATTGAAAGTGTGCTATTAATTAGCGATGGCTCGCAATACAGTTCCTCAGCGGAGACCCACCGGTATATTCTGCAACAAAGTCAACACCAAAGCCAACCACACACTCAACACCACAACACAACTCATCCGCAAATCAATGCAAACGATGTTTACGTGAAACAAGAATTCAATCAAATCAAGTCTGAATACGATTACCACCAAAACGATACGTACGACCAGTCGGTGCCGTACGTCGAGAGCAACAACTATTGCAATGCCTCGCAATGGACTTCAACGCCATTACAGCCGATTCAGTGCACACAACCATCCAATCAGTTGTGCGCCAATCGTTTGGTGCACTCGAGTGCCAAAGAGCCGATTCCTTCGCCACAACCGCACTCTCAGGCGAACGGATCGACAAACTATTATTGTGATCAACAATACAATAGTAATTATCTTCACTGGAATTCAGACCAATATTCATACGGAAAGCCATCGCTAACCCAATGCCAAATGTCTGCGCATTCAGTCAATAATTATAGTATGGGTTATCATCCAAATACCAGTGCAAGTCTTCAACAACCCTCGCATCGAAACATAGTAACCCCTCCGGCGTCGCCTCATCTCTCGGAGCTCTTATCAAATCAAAGTAAACCCCCGACCGGACAGTTAGCCACCGCTCACACCCTTCACACACACCTCAACAATATTACTATTAATTGCAATTCAATCAATACGACCGCTCTTCAGACCACAGCACCCGCTCAGCAGATCGTTCAGGTCGTAGGAGGACCTCAGGTTATCAATGGCACGATTGCCCCAACCATTGCGCCCACCAAACCCAGGAGAGGTCGCCGATCGAGGGGTCCTAAGAAAGTCACTCTCCATACCTGCTCTTATCCGGGCTGTACTAAGACTTACTCAAAGAGCTCACACCTGAAGGCCCACCTGAGGACACATACGGGTGAAAAGCCCTATCAGTGCAATTGGAAGGGCTGCGGCTGGAAGTTCGCCCGATCTGATGAACTGACCCGACATTTTCGCAAACACACCGGCGATCGTCCCTTTCAGTGCCGACTCTGCGAGAGAGCCTTGAAAAGCCCTATCAGTGCAATTGGAAGGGCTGCGGCTGGAAGTTCGCCCGATCTGATGAACTGACCCGACATTTCCGCAAACACACCGGCGATCGTCCCTTTCAGTGCCGACTCTGCGAGAGAGCCTTTTCCCGATCCGATCACTTGTCCCTTCATATGAAAAGACACGCAGAGATTGTGTAAACTTTTTGGCGAAATCCGTTTCGTCACTAAATCTCTCTATACATATGTATCATAAATATTAAGTGAGTGCCTGTAATGCCTGTCTTATTCTGTGCCAGAGTAGCAACAAAATGATGATAAAACATAAACCTTTTGTTGTGGTGTTTATGCCAAACAAATTGACGGCAAAACAAGTCAACAGAGATTTCTTATAATAGAGAAAAATGTCACATCAATTACAAAACACATACAAAAAACAATGCGTTTAAAGAGAAAACAGATGAAAATGAGATGAGAATTAGCGGTGATGTCATCGACCAGTCAGACCACGACTTCATCTCTGCGTGAATTGCAATCAATGGTTAGTTATTATTAGTGGAGAGAGACTGAGAGCTCATTACGAGTGCGAACAGCAGCTAAAAGATATTGCCCTTTGGAGTGAAGGCAACTGTAGGCCTAATGTGCGGTACAGTAGGCCTGGGATGCAAAGGCAGCTGCGTTTAGATGAGAAGTACTATGCAATAAGTTATATACCCATCGGTGACAAGAGATATGGAGAGGTTAGCCGTACTGTACGGTGTGGTGCGTGAGGCCATCAAATGGTACTTAAATGCAAAACATCTCCAAAAATACGGCTAAACAGTGACAGAAAGGCTCTTATAATGAACCCAAAAGGTATGACCAGAACTTTTCTCTGAAACAACACTGTATTTCACACAAAATACTAAAAAACCTTTTCACTAAACAAAATACAATAAATTTGTTCCGCATTTCGCAAAAAACTAAGAAAAATACTTATTGAATGAAAACCTTTTTGACATAAGAGACAAAAATCATAACAATAATAGTTATTAACATAACTTATCGTTTAGTTTTAGTACTCAAACAACACAGTAATAGACGGGAGAGAGAGAAATACATCGAGAATTATAACAAAGAACTCGGGAAACACACGAATAATATATTCATTTATTACTAATCAATAGACAAATAAATATTTTGTTAGCATTTTTGCCAAAACTTATTGTAATAGATATTATAATTGATGTGAGCATTGGTTGTGTGACTCAGGATTTTCTTCTTCTCTCTCCAATTACTTAAGCATTAATTATAGAGAAAATTCTTTGCAAACAGAGAAACAAACCGTAAGATACCATACAATTAACACAAAATGTTAAAGAATTTCCTATTTATTAAGTAAATATCATTAAAAATCAAATCAATTGACACTTTATTGTATATGAATTGTAAATTATGATAAAAGAGATTTTCAGCCAATAAATTATTATCACAAACATTTAAATACGACAACAAAAAACCTTTTCCTCATTTATTAACTCTTGTGTTAATTAAAATAAACGGAAATACAAGTTGTGTTTAAAATTGAGTTTATTGTAAAGTCATGTAAAAGCCATGGAATTGAATAATAATTTGTTAAAACACTCCAAGAATCTATACTTTACTATTAAAACTAATTACTAATCAATTTAGTTATTTTATGCCATAAAAAGGACATTTAAATTCAATATTCATAACAGAAAATACAATTAAAACAATGAAATACCGATAACTAATGGTCTCAACTAACCTAATAATTAATAAACAAAACAATTAAATTAAATACAATTTATTGAATCTAATGTTGTGCTCGAAAATGTAAATTATATTATATATTCCTATATAAATATTGTATGAAAAAAGTACTTGTATTTAAAAATGTAATGTAAATTTCATTTTATTCAAACAAAATATAAATGTTATAACAATTGAAAGTAATAATAATAATGAAAAATAATAATAATAATAAAGATGCTAAACTTGAAAATGTATTATTCGTTTATTTATTTACACATTACAACAATTGCTATTATTTTTATTACAATATTAGCACAAATATTTCCCCCGAAAAGGACAAAATGTTTATATCAATCGTTTCATTCAATATAATAATAGGTTTTTATAGTTGTGTATAAAATAATACAATATTTCGCTTTTTGTTTGTATTTTAAAAATATACTGAATGTTGACTATATTTTATTATATCCAGTGATAGAGTTTATGTATTTCCAATTCATTTGTTGACCAACAGCTCAATTTTGATATGACATTATATTTGACAATAAAATCAATTTTATTATTTACTCATTAATAAGTAAAATATTTACAACAAATTTCAATTTGATTGAGTCGTTATATGCCGTGTGTGTTGTAGTGACGAGAATCTCGTTTTGTAAATGTTTTATATAAATATCTGTATAAAAAAAAGTGACAAATAGTGATCGCTATTGAAGTCATGACAGAATCTACTAAAAAGATTGTTAACTGTGTTTTCAAGCGTAACACTCGATATAAAACAAATCACAAATGTATTAATAGGTGAGGGGAGAGAGAAAACTAGAAAAAATACTAAAATTGAATCAAATGTAATATAAAGTAGACATTAAAAAATTGAATGCATTGATCACTAGATTCTGCAATCATTAGCCGATGTCAGCAGTCGTTTCACCAATAATTCAATGTTTATGTGTTGTGTATAAGAGGGGAGACTTATGGACGAACACAAGTAGAGTTTGCAATACTAGAGCTCAGGTAGAGATATATTAAGGATATATATAAACAGAACGAATCGAGTTTGTATTGTATAAGAAATATGTCTTTACAAATAGACAAATGGTAGTCAATGACTGGTTGGTGAGGCCTGGGATGTAAGTGCTGGCTTGTGTTGGCCATAATAAATGACTATGGTGCTTTTCCAGACAGTGATTGATGGGAGCGATGTGCTAATGTCTAATTGCTTATCACTTTTAATGTTTTTGCATATACTTTGGGTCATTCATTGAGACATTCATTCAAATATAGTGTAATTCGATGCGTTTGAACGGCAAGAATATTATGGCACTTGTATTCATATCGCTATCAAAAATAACACTGAAAACAATGTTCACTCTTCCATATACTCAACCAAATGTGTGGTTTGTGTGGTATTTAATGCTCTCATCGTTGGTTTTTATACATTACGGTGTGTTATGTAATTCATTTGTGTGGCAAAAAACATGTAACAATCATTGGTTTGAGAGTTTATTATAGATTGTTTGGCGATTCACACAATAATTGATACGAAAGACTAAAGAGATATAGCAGTCGACAAAAAAAATCCGATGGTTTAAAAGAGATCTCTTTCTTACAAACGATGTGATCATAAAAAATGCTGTAAAAAACTATACTTTTTTATTTGTTTCAATCAATGTGAGGCTCATTTCTTCCCTGTTTGGTTGTAAAGACTATGCATTCATATGTAATGTTAATCAGGAAATAAAGGTAATCGCGGGCCAGGAATATATACAGAGACGAACAGTATATAAATACAGTACATAATCATTATATAAGTAATATTCAAACTTCTATTACAAAGATTATTTAATGGCAACACGTGTTCAGAGTGTCCGCACACAACACAACACAAACTTCTATCTGTAACACAACGGGTGGTTATGTGCGAAGCGGAGAGAAAAATATCTTTTCGCACACAAACTATTCCCTCCACTCTTTGATGGATGCTATGGGGGGTCAGTCCCAGCACTGCACAGACCCAGAGATGAGAGAGAGAGAGAGAGAGAGAGAGAGAGAATAGCAAACACCAAGAAATAGCAGTTAATGTTCGCTCACTTTATATAAATTACTTCTTATTTTTTATTCGCCACTTAATGCTAACCAACAAATAGTGAACTATTTTCCTAATATTCAACAGTACTGTACATACTGTACACCTTTTCGGTGTAATTTTTGTAGTATTTATAACAAATAGTTGATTATAAATATGAGCCTATCATACACTGTGATCGAGAGGGAGAGATAAAAGTTATTTAACTTTTATAAATGTTGTTATATATGAATGAAAAACATATATAAATTCACGGATTATTGTTTGGCATTGAATTATTTAATGTGTTAAATGAAAAATAGTGACAAAATTGGCGCTAATTCACGACCAAAATGTGCAGTTAATCTGTGGTAATGTTTGTGTGGCAAAGATCATAGACTTTATATTTAGTGTACAATAAATATGTGATTATCACTCAACATATGATATGAATTCTAACGTAAACTGAGAGAGAGAGAGAGAGAGAGAGAGAGAGAGAGAGATAGAGAGAGAATTGTGATAATATATTTTGAAGACTAAAATTACTTTCAAAACATTATTAGTTATTTTAATTGATTGCTAGAGTGAAAGATCCTTTAGAAAAGCGAGAGATTGACTGA